TTTTTTTTTTTTTTTCTAAATCATATGAAAAAAATTCCTTGCTGAAATCAAAACATGAAAAATTCATCTTGATCAGGTCCCTACCGTGATCACAAGGAAAATCCTCAGCCAGGTGTTCTCATTCATCAATGTGCAGCTCTTTAACAGGTCAGAAAAGTAGCATAATATATACACACACACACACACACACACACACATATGAATAAGATAATAACAAAACCCCCCTTTTGTTTAATCGAAATGCAAGAATCCACCTTGTATTTTTTTTTTTTTTTTTTAAAAAAGATGTAGAGATTATTATAATTTTTTTTCTTTTTTTTTTTTTGCTAAAAGATATAATTTTTCTAATCACACAATTGACACACAATTTTGTCAATACAGCTGCGTAAAAAGACTTTTTTGCCCTGCATAAAAGAAATAGTGCATATGATCTCAAAGATAGCAATTTTTTTCAAATATTCAGAAAAAACCATATTTTACAGAAAAAACAAAGCCGATTATTCTCAAATATCAGAAAAATGGAAGACTATAGTTTCCACCTTTAGGGGTTTTCCCTATGAAAACCAACGTTTTCTTAAGGGCCGTAATGTCTTTTGGGCAGTTCTCTTAACTAAATCTCACAAATTCAATTAAACATAAGAGAGGTTTTTGTCATATACTTATATAAATTTCATTTTATACTATATAAAGGTTTAAAAAAATAAAAAATAAATAAAAACTCCATGTACTTACGTTTCTCTTTTTTCTTTTGTGGCAGCTTATTGCTGCGGCGAGAGTGCTGCTCATTTAGCAATGGAGAGTACTTGAAGGCAGGTTTGCTAGAATTTGAGCATTGGTGCCAAAAAGCTACAGATGAGGTAATTAATCTCAAATGCACACTGCTAAAAAAAGGCCTAATTAATGGCGGTTTTTGACCGCCCTTAAAAGTATAAAATGGCGGTCAAAATCGCCATTAATGTAGGTGCCATAAAAATGTCGTGTGAGATACAATAGACGTGTTTGGAACTCGTTCTAAAATAATTTTATTTTTTGTATAAAAATAAAAATAAAAACGTTTTCAATCTCAGACAGAAATTATTTTTGAAAATGCATTTGATAGTTTTATCAAGAGATTATTTTCAGTATAAAAAATCCATTAATGTCTCTCTCTGCTCGAGAGAGAAGAAAACGAAAACAAAAAATGAAAAACGACTAAAAGTCGTTTTTCATTTCTCTCTCATTTTACACTAAACTAAAAAATCGTTTTCATTTCCGTTTTTTGTCTTTATTGCGCAAAACGCCGTTTTAGAAACGTTTCATTTTTTCTTTCTCAAAAAACGTGAAAAACAAAAACGGGATTAATTTTAAACACGGCCGATAAGTTTTCAATTGCGATTAAAATAATACATCACATATTAAAATTACATGCATAAATGAATGCTTATGTAAGAATAATTATGCATATATTAGATTATATAATTTGTTTCTTGTATCTTTACAGTTAACCGGATCCTCATGGGATGAACTCCAACACATAAGACAAGCCGTTGGATTTTTGGTAGGTCCACTTCACTCAACAAATTTTTCTATTTTCTCAGGGTTTCATTTAGGAGAATTCCACACTAAAAGTTATAAGAATAAACTACCCGTTAAGTTTCTATTTTAAGCCATTTGTATCAGAAATAATTTATTCCGCATATTTTTTTATTTTGATATGAGTTTTATCAGATTCAATGATTAGAAACTTATACTATCCGTAGAGCGTTGTAAAAGTTACTTTAGTTTAAGTAGGTCTATTTCAAATGTCTAGATGTGACATAGGAAGTTGCACCACTAAAGATTAATTGTAAAAAGAAAATTTATGACAAGTGACTTATATTTTTTAGTACTTATGAATTTGAGAAATGCTACATAGATATTTACTATAATATTTTTCTTGTTTGTTTTGGATTATGATATTCTTTCATTGATCAATGCAGGTTTTGCACCAAAAAACTCAAAAATCTTTGGATGAAATTACAAATGAACTGTGCCCGGTACTAACTTAATTTCTGCTTCTAATTAACAGAGAACTAATATGCCTTTAATTTGGCTCTCAACTTATTTACTTGTTATTTATTTATTTATTTATTTTTTTACTTATGGCCTAATCAGATATTGAGCACCCCACAAATATATCGCATTGGAACAATGTTTTGGGATGATAAATATGGAGCTCAGGGATTATCTTCTGAGGTAAATAATTTTTCTTTATTTATGTATTGTTTATTTATAAATGATTCCACATGAAAGTGTCCTTGCATTTAACTAATATTATATGTATTATTGAGCCAAAAAAAAAAAAAAAAAACTAATTATATGAATTAAAATGTTTTGATCATATAGGCGATCGGGAAAATGAGAGTGTTGATGGCAGAAGATTCAATTAACATGCTCAATAATTCATTCCTGTTGGACGTGGATTCCAGGTAATAATAATTACATGATTACTAGTCTAACATTGCCCAACTTAACCATGCCAAATTAGTAAGTAATTAATTAATTAGAGAGTAAATCGTTGTTATTCATCACAATTTATGAACAATATGAACCTTACACCTTAGAAGAATTATAACATACAACTACTACAGCCTTAACTTATACCCCATATTATTTGGTTAAATAACCATTTTTCTTAATAGCAAGCAGTGACAAAATCAGAAATTTGTTTCGCTAGGTATGAAACACGAAAGAGATATATAAGTGGGGGCATGGTTTTAATTAACTATTATTAAGGGGTATAATTATATTTGTATTGAGTAGGGTATAAGTATCATATTAGGTAAATAAAATCATACAAATACGGAATAATTATGATAATATAAGGTAAATCAAAGAGTAAATATCACATATTTTTTGTGTTTTGAAAAGTGAGAAATATCTATTCTAAAAAAAAAAGTGAGAAATATCTCAAATATTTTTGTGATAATATTGATGTATAAATATTATTATGAATATTAGTGTCAATCGTGTAGATTAATAACGAAAGGAATATAGGTCTCGTTCACTTCACCGATTTGAGTTTTATTATAGTAAAAAGTTCTTAAAAACAGTTATATTTAACTTTTTGTTACAAAAATTTTTTTTTCACATAAAATCACATCTCAACTCAAATTAAAAACTCGAATTAATGAACTAAACGGGCCCATATTGTTGCAGCATACCATTCACAATGGAAGAGATGTTCAGATCATTTGGTGATGTACATGTGAACCTGAGTGATGTGGACCCACCACCCCTTCTACGACAAAGATCAGACTTCCATTTCCTATTTCAGCATGCCGATTAAAAGCGACACAAATTTGTTATTCATCCAAGCATTTCCCACACATTCACAAATTAAAGAAAAATGGCAATTTATTAAAAGTAAATGTTGTAAAGTTGATGATTTTGTAATTAGCTTGCCCTTTTGTATTTTGCTTTCCGTTTTGGTTTTGGGATGAGAGAGAGAGAGAGAGAGAGTGCCAAGTTTGTTTGTAATTCTTTTTGGTCGTTGTCGTTTTGTCTTCTTTTTATTGATTGATTGATTTTTTTTGTGTATTTAAACTTAATAATAGCGATGTGAGCAAAATTTTGGTTGATATGCATACCAGTCAATTGGAATACTAATTTTTTGATTCCCTCCTTCTGTCTTTGTAGTATAATTATTGTTTTTATTTACCTCCTTTACTTTGATATAGTAATTCTATTAGGCTATGCAAGAAACAAGAAATCATGCAAAAAATAACAATAAAAAAAAAATCTGATCACTAGGCTGCTCATAAAAAGAGATGATTATGTTGTCACGGTGAGGTATGGTTGTGAAAAATGCACGCACATTTGGATCATTTTGATCACAGGAGAATTTAGCACTAAAATACACCCCATATTATTATTACTTTTTTAAAAGGAATAAACAATATGAACCGTTGAAAGAAAAAAAGATTATCAAATTCCATAAATTAAAAATTTCAAAATCATTTTTTATGTAATTGTTATGGAGTTTTTTCTAGTAAGACCACCCTATTAATAGAGTCATTTTATGACCATAACGTATGATCAAAATCACGTCAAATTAAAAAAAATACTTCGAATAGACAGATTTTTTTATACAGATATAAACTTTTCAACATTTTACTTTTTGAGGACCTACTAGATAATAAAGAGGGAGGACCATATGTAGTATTACTCTTTTTCTCGAATGGTAAAAGATAATTGGCCCGTTTAGTTCGTTGATTCGAATTTTTAATTTGAGTTGAGATGTAATTTTATGTGAAAACTTTTTACTATAATAAAAAAGTTAGATGTGATTGTTTTTAAGAACTTTTTACTGTTAACAAAACTCGAATTCTAAACTGTAAAATGAACAGGACCAATATATAATCCTTACTCCTTATGGCAGAGATAAGAACACCAATTAGTGGATCAAGGCAGGTATTGTTTTGCACTTTTGTTTGGGATTGCTATGTTTTTGTTATCCCAACTTCCAAGAACCTTGTGGTAGCTAACAGATGAAGTGCGACAATAAGTTACAGTAGTGTTACTAGAACAAGAGAAGCAATTAGGATTTGAAAAAATAATAATAAGGAAATAATAAGGAAACTTTTAGCAAATAATAATAAGGAAATTTCTCTAGTATTCTCTTTTTTTTTAAAAGACCGGTGTTCCCTGTTTATCAGTCGTGTATTACTTTTTCAATCTGATTTAACTTTTAACCAGAATTAATATATATATCTGATGAATAATAAACAAAGAACACCGATGTTCATAAAAACGAGAGAATACTAGAAAAAGTCCCTAATAATAATAATAATACATGTAGGACCTTCTTACAAAATAGAGTCGACTTCTTACTATTAAATCTAATCAAAATCACATTAGATTACAAAAATATACAAAACAAATAATTTTTTATACAAACATGACAGCTAAAAACAAAGCTTTTTCAGTAGTTCATTTAGTAAGTGGCTATACGAAAAATCTCTTAATAATAGGAGCTTTATATGGTAGGACGTAAAAAAAACAAACTGCTAATAACTCTGTTTTTAGAAGCCAGATTTGTATTAGAAATTGATTGTTCTGTCTACTTTTCTATTTTGATGTAATTTTACCTTCCACTGGTCAAAAATACGCACTACCGGCTGGAAGCCCTACCGCACAAGACCCGTAATTATAAGGAAAAACAAAGGGAAAAAAAAAACCATAGACTGGTAAAAACTCTCCCCCTTTTCTTCATGTTTTTACACAAAAAAGTGAAATGATGAAAGGAGTTCTAGTCAAGATATTAGAATCTCCACAATCTTTTTCGATTTTACCCAAAAAAAAACAAAAAACAAAAAAATTAAAAAATTGGTAGCAAAGAAGGCCTATATAACTACCTCAAAAGTACTACAACCCGTACAAAAAATGTATAATGCGGTTATATCAAACCTAGTCTCAATGCTCAACTTTGGTTTCAATACGCAACCTCGATCAAGATGTTCAGCATGGACTTCTGCAAGCCTAACCCGTAGTAGCTCCAAGTTAACCTGATATGAATAAGAAAAAAAGGTAAAAAGAATGATTCATGAAAAGCTTATGCAGAAAACATTTATGGAGAAAGATAACATATTAAAATGGGAGAAACTGTTTGGGAAATTAGGCGCGACCTAATTCAAATTAACAAGAACGAATAATAGCAAAAGAAGAAAGATAAATGCATAATCATGTTATGAGTAATGGAGCGTAATCACCGTGGAAGAAAAGCAAGGAAAACGGGGAGGAAAAACAGCGAGCGCTGCGGCCATGAACATGGAGCACACGCAGAGCTAGGAGGACTGCACTACAGTCTCCCTACCAAGAGAAGGGCGCTGCGGCGCTTTGGAAATTTCACGCCCGGCAGCACCGCAGCACCAGGTCGAGTGTGCGACTTCGGATTTCGCTCCATTGGGCGCCACAGTGCCAATAAACGGGGGCCGTGGTGCCAGGGCGCAAGCAAGGGCCCCCGGGGGAATTTCAGACATTTTAGGTCTTTTTTTTTTTGGGGGGGGGGGGGGGGGGGGATATTGGGGAAGCTTTTTCGTTCATTTCTAAGTGGAGTATTTTGGGAAATGTCTGGTTTTGGGATTTTTTTTTTTGGGATTTAATAATACTTGAATTTGTAATGAACTTCACGATGCTTGAAAATTTTGAACTTTCTATTGAACTCCAAAAGAAAGTTTTTTGTTCGCAGTGTTTTTTGTATTTCTTTTGGGGAAGTTTTGTCGATGCAAATTCTTTGTTCAATTTCTACTTTAATTTCTGGTTAAAGTGACAATGTATTCAGGAGAATATTGAATTCAGTGAATTTGGGCCTTAAAAATTTCTTTTCTTGTACTATATAAATAATATCTATCATTAGGGGATTTAGGTGTGATGATTTTTCTGAGAGAAACACAAGTGAGTGATTCTGTTGTATTGATTTTCTTCAGCAATATAGTGAAATCTGCAGTGGTAGAAACAGAATGTAACCAAATTGGTGAACCTATATAAAATTCTTGGTGTGAATTGTGCTTTTATTTTTCGTTCTCAGTAATTTATTTAGGTTTTAGTATAGATTTCCTAACACATCACACCAAGGAATTTTATACAAGTTCGCCCAATTAGAGCTACTCGCAGCAGATTTTCACTATATTGATGAAGAATTTACAAGAGAATCACTCAAAACACTTGCACTTGTGTTTCTGTCTCACACGCCAGTATTCAGCCCTCACAATATAACTTTCTCAAAGAATCATGTAACAAACCCAAGCATAACCTATATAGGTGTACAAGAGAAAAGAGATTAAGTTTCCCGAGAAAAAAAAATGTGGCTGGCACGGGCCGTGGCTACAACTTCCCAGAGCCAGCACCCACCACGGTTCCGCTATTCGGCCAGGCGACGGCACAAACTCTCAGTCTTGACTACTGCATCAGTTTTCCAGCACCGCAGCGCTCCATCTCTCTCTCTCTTCATTTAATTGATTAGGCTACACATACTTAACAGAAACGTGGAGGTAGAAGACACTGACAGAGACTATAACTACTGCACTGTTCTTTGATGGAATTTAATTTCAACCCAAAAAACTTGCGAGTAAATTAACAAAAAGTTCAAACAAAATTAAGAGGAATTCACGTAAAACAGGGTAAAAAGTATTAGCTTACTAGTTGCTTGTTACTAGTTATTAAGAGACAAGTAGCAGATAACATGACAACTCACAAGAATTGGCAAAATGAAAACTAGGACAATATTTCTGCAACATGTTGACAAAAAACAAATTTTACCATCCATATATGTCGCATCCAGATGGATTCTTATCAAAACAATTCGACCGTTCAAGATGGATATAGAAATAAGTTCATATGCAGACAGACAATTTTCATACCACAAAAAATAAATAGAAAACCAAATTGCAGGCTACATGTTCAAGAAAATGACAAACAACTAACTCAAATGTTACAGAAGCACAACTCAAAAAAATTAGGACTAATCTCAGTGGTGGCCCCTGAACTTTAGGGTCATTCTCACTTTGCCACCTAAATTCATTTTATCCCTTGAACTTTGAATTTGTCGCATTTAAGCCCTTTTATAAGAATTTCTATTAAAATTAACGTCAGATGGAAAAGAGGAGGTTACATATGGTCATGTGGTTTTTATCTGCTTGTTTTTAATAAAAATTTGAACAGAAAGACTACGTGACTGCATTACTCTCTCTTTTCTATATGTTTTTAACACAAATCACAACCGAAGGGGTTAAGTGGGAACAATTCAAAATTCAAGGGGCAAAGCGAGAGTTTTTAAAGTTCGGAGGGTAAACTGGGAATGATTCTAAAGTTCAAGGGGTACCAGTGATAATAATCCAAACAATTACAATCTAGGGTCTAGGGAAAGAACATTAATACCAATCTAACATGGAAAATTATGGCAATGTCATAATTAAAATCAAAGGAAATTTGCAATACCTCATCGCCTTTCCTCAACTGAAGCTCACAAAGATTGCAACTAATAAGACTTTGATTCTCTTGCAGTTCGCCCCGCTTACATATCGGGCACCAAATTACTTCCTGCAACTAGCATGCATGACATATAATGCGATTAGACGAAGCTTTCTCATTGTTTCATTTGCATCATCATACAATTATGCAATTAAGTCTCTAGGGACTGAATTGGCTTCAGCTAGTTTAAACTAGACCTATGACATACTCTGAGTATCTGCCCATCTATCTGGTTTAAACCCCATTCTCTTTTCCCACCCAATTAGTTTGCATTACGTGATTCATCAATATAAATAACTGACTCTTCATCACAGATCATAAATTATGAATTAATTTTCTAGCGTTCAGGCCATGTGCGATGGAGAGATATAGTTACTCACGAACTTGAAAGATAGCCCAAAAACGCATGGAGAAAAATATTTTTCGCACTTCTTGAACTTGAAATTTTGAACCGATCCTCAATGCTTCTAGGAACAAGAACCCACATCCAGGGGATATCATACCTTCTTCTCATTCAGTTGCAAATGCTCATAAACTGCATGGGACAAGTACTCATCTTCTTCGTCTTCCCATGTTTCAACGTAGTTTTCTGGTTCTGCAATAAGCTAGAGTGAACTGTGATGCTCAAAAACAATGAACTGGCCAGTGGCAAAACCCAAAACTATTACATCCTTCTAGACTGATATAACTAAAAACAGTACTAACAATTTGAACAGCCCTATTTGTAGCACAAAAAGTATCTTCTAACTTTTTCTTGCCGAAATAACTTATAGGAGAAGTTTTCTATATATTATAATAGATATTGCTTATAGTATAATGAACAATTTTACCTTTCCTAGCCAATTCCGTACTGAGATCCTCATAAAAGATCATCTGCATTTCTAACAGTATTTCTTCACATTCACCTTGATAAGCATCATGAAGTCCACCATATTCCCATAAAATATCATCACTCTCAGGGATAGAAGTCGAGGTCTTCATATTGTCATATGATGAAGAGTCCTTCAACTTTTTCAGTTCATCGGAAACGATATCCTTAAATGCAGATTTGATCAAATCCTGCAAAGAGGAAAAGATATGATTCAGCGAGTGGACCGAGAGAGAGATCACCTACATAGACCCAAAGAATAAGAAAATTGGAGAAATATGGCAACATTGCCGAAATGAAAACAGACTCGTGACAAAGAAAGACAAATTCCACCTGACTATTAAATTAATCGCATATGCATCCATGAGAACCTATTATCAATCCTCCAACCCCAACAACAAAGAAAGCAACTATTAGATAAGAAGATGCATAATAGTTTAATAACGAGCTCTATCTATTAGTTGTCAATGAAAACACACCAAAAACAGGGGACACTATGCACTTGAAACTCATTTTCTTTTATTGTTTTTCGAATTGGAAGGATGTGATGGGATGATGAGGATTAATTGTTATGAGTTGTTGAGGGTCTCCTGTTGGTTGTATTTTTTTATTGTTGTTTTTCTCTTTTCTCGTTAATTTTTTCCTGTTTTCCTTTCCTTTCCTAGGGACCTCTTGTACTCTTTCGTTTATATTGATTTCATTATAGGAAATCTTAATCCAAATTAAAAAAGAAAAAAAAGAAAAACAACAAATAATCCAAATTTATATTGGAATTTTCCTCCTCGTGACCAGAATCAGTATTCATTATATTTTATATTCATAATTCTTTCACATAGAAGAACCTCTAGCTATGCAATTTTTATAAGTGAAACAATTAATAGCTTAGATCTTGTGTCTCTTTATGTATGCTAGCAACCAACTGCTCTGAAACCTGCAGTCATGAAGTGGAAAAAGCTATAGGTTGCCACCAAGAGTAGTAGAAGCGGATTAGGAACCGGGAATATAAGGGTTCGTGAGGGACCACTTAACCACCAATTCAAGTAAATGCCACAGAAATCAGCTTAGAGTTCAAACTTGAAAGCTCGCCGTTGGGTTACGTATGCCACTAATACCCATTATGTGTCAAAAGGAAATGCACACTCAAAAACAATTTACTGAACCATGTAATACCCCAGTAAATGACTAGAAAAATAACAGCAAGAGACATTCAAGCAAATACATAGAACTCCATCGAAGAAGAAAGAGTGACTTAACTCAAGAAGAAAATGTACCTTGGAACCTAAATTAAGAGGTTGAGAGCTGGGTATCACTCTCATTTTCCAAACCAAGCGCCTTCTATCTTCTCGGACCCTTTTGTAACAGTTTTCCCTTAGCTAAATGCAAACATTTACAAAGTATTTGCAATTCGTTATTTGTCCCCATAAAGAGACTAACAAAATTAAAAATTGCAAATTCATCATAAAGCATCGAATTCAATCTCAAACCTATGAACTAAACAGGCACTAAAACATTTTGTAGATAATTGTTGCTTAACATTTACTAAGAATACACAAGCAATTTTGTGGCATAAAACAAAACCAAGGATGATTTGGGGATTTGGCTCTCCCTTTCCTCATTAGAGCATCTCTAATGCAATGCTATATGTGCCCATTACAAATTTAGCATTTGTGTGTAAAAAAACACTCTCTAATACACTGCTATTTATTGTGCCGATTTCTCATATGCTATACTTCGTGGTAAATTTCCCACCAAGTATAACATATGAAAAATTTGACATTTGATTAAGATTGGTTAAAATATGTACTTTTTCATGTAATCATTATAACTTTTACATTTCCTAATTAATTTAAAAATAAAAGTTTATTTTTACAACTTTGAAATATTAATGATTATAGAAAAAAAATAAATTTAACATTTCAAATAGCATTATGCAAGTAAAAATGAAAATAACATATCATACTTTTTGATACTACATATATAATTGGCATATGATATCAAAATATCATATTTTTTTATGCTAAATATACACTTAGCAATAGCACTTGGTCTTACCATTCCTAATTCTTAAAAACACCCTTTTCATTTTGATTTCCATAAGTAAACATTCCCATAACAAAATGTATCAAGAAAAAAACCATTAACAAAAGTAAAGCAGAATTTATAAACCCATTTGAAAATGGCATAAAACGCAAAGCTTTATACAAGAAAAGAGAAGAAAGAGAAGCAAACCTTGCGTTTCCAAATGTCATGATGGTTGAAAAATGGATGGGTTTTGAGAGAAGTTCGAGAACGGATTGAGGTTTTGGCTGAATCCGTTTGACCTTCTCTCTCTTTCTGTCCTCCAATTTCTCTCTCCTCCATTATATACTGTCAAAAACTCAAAAACAATTACAATCTTTCTTCTTCAGAATATGAATCACTAAAAACTGAAAAAAAAAAAAAAAACACAAGGAATTTGATTCTCAAAACCAAAAACCCGTATTTAAATTGAGTAATAGAATTTCAAAGGTTAAAAAGAAGAGAGAAATTACCGAAAAAATGGAATGTTGAGAGAACAGAGAGAATATGGGGTTTGGAGAGCGGAAGAGAAGAGCGCGAAAGAAAGAGAGAAATGAGAAAAATGGAAGTGAGATGACTAAAAATAATAATAATAATCCTTGCACCCTTATCCCTAAACTTAGTCGGTTACACTATTAGGTTATTAAGTCCATTCTTTTTTTTTTTTGTTGATTTAAATTTAAAATTTAAATTTTATTAGAATAAAAAATTTTTAAAAATAATTATATTTAATTTTTTTATTACAATAAAAAATTTTCACACAACATTATATTTTAATTTAAATTAAAAATTTAAATTAGCGAACTAAACGAGTCTTTAACTATCGTAGTCACTAAATTAATTATATTTTACAAAATTTATTTCATACTAATTAAATAATTTAATAAAATTATTTATATTTTATAAATTATTTAATTAAAGTAAAGAGTATAATTTAAGTGGGTTACTTCATAATTATTTATTAAAATAACTTTTAATTATTTTAGTTAAAATTTAATTAAATTTAGAGTCTTTTGTGGAATACTCTTATACAGGTATTGAAAAATGCACAATCAAATATACTTTGTTTTCAATAGTTAGACCTCGTTCATTTCACCGATTCGAGTTTTCAGTTTTAGGTTTTTACAGTAAACAGCTCTCATAAAATGCCACATCTAACTTTTTATGCTACAGTGAAAAACTCTCAGAAAATATCACATCTCAACTCGAATTGAAAATTTGAATCCGCGAAGTGAACGAGGTCTTAATCTATACGAGAAATTGTAGCCTCATTCTCATTCATTTCGATATTTTAAATTAAAATTCAAACTTTTATTATTTCTAATATAAATTCATTTTTTAACTTAAAATAGTAAATCGAATAGGATCTCAGTTATCAAGAAGACGACCGTCAAACAAAGAAAAAAAAAAAAAAAAAAAAAAAAAAAAAAAAAAAAAAAGCCCCCCTCGCTTTGGCCGTGCAATAGGAAGCTTACAAAACTCAAATGGTGTGAAGAAATGAAAACCTCGTTTGGGCTGAAATCCAACCCTCTCCGGCTGGGCCCACCCCAACTCTGACGAGATCTCATCCTTCCACTCATCTCCCACCGTTGATCTCCGCCGCCGTCGCCACACAGCACCTCTCCGCCGTTGGTATCTTCATCTGAACCAAATTCAGGATTTCTGTTAGGGTTTCGAAATTTAGGGGCTTTTGGGTCCGAGAATTTGGGGTTTCTTTTTCTTAGATCTCTGACTGTTCAAGCAAGAAAAAAAAATGAAATTTCCAATGCGTGTGAAAGCTATCTGCAATTATTGTCACTTCTGTTCTTGATGATTGCTGAAATTTTTAGAAAATTGGAAGAATTTCTGCAATTTTGAGCTTTTCGTTTCTAAAGGAATGATTTTTTTTAGCTGTTATATAAGTATGTATCGAGATTCAGTTTTAGATGTGATTGTTTTCAAGCTTATGCAGCTGTTAGCATAATTGCATAGACGATTTTACGATTTTATAGATTGGTTCCTGTCCTATACGTTGAAAATGATGGCGGTTTGAAGTTTTATGGAATTTTTGATCTTTTTGGTTGGCTATTTTAGCTTAATTTTGGATATGAGGATGACATAGGATTGGATTCGTATTCTATGCGTTAAAATTGTTGAGAGATTTCAGGTTTTGTGGATTTTTAGATCCTTTGGCTTGTTATTTTCGTTGAAAATGACATAAAATTATACCAAAAAGTAATAGTAATGCAGGAGCTTACCATTGGATATGTGATGGTGATGACATGGATATTTAGAGTAATGATTGTGCTTTGCATGAGTTTGAGCCGCCAATAGCGGCTGGTCACATTTAAATTTCTAAGTGATCTTTTTGATATATTTTTTTAGTTATGTTCATTCATGAGATGTACTTTGTCATTGTTTAAGTTTTGAAAGAAAGAAGAATGTTATAGGTCTCGAATTGCTTAGATTTATAGTGGGTATAAGGATTTGCTAAGCAAGTGTTGCTTGTTGGATGAGGAAATAAAAAGGTGGCATAGCGGAAGAAGATGTGGGAAAACTTGGATAGATAGAAACTCAGACCCACATCTGAGGACTCAGAAGTCATACTGCTGCCGGAGCTCTTTAGTGGGTGGAGTAGGTCATTTGATTACACACAGACCCTGTGAAGAAACAAGCAGAAAGAATGATGCTTGAAAACCCTACAGCAGCAGCACAAGCACAACCAGCGACAACAGATTCTGCAACGGTTATAAAGCGCTATGCTCATCCGAATCAGAGGTTCGTTTATTTGTTAGTGTGTGTTTCACATTCTTCATTTGGGATAATTTTGATGATTAGTGGTGCCCAACACTGCGCTTCTTTGTCGTTTGTCCCAATTGTGCAGTGGTGGTCCCACACTATCATATGACAATTGTGTATCAGGTTATAGGCATGTGGTTTGAGTAGCATTGGTAATGTTGGACATTGTTTTCTTGTATTTTCTTATTTTCTTTTAACATTTTTGACATGTAATTTTGCAGGAATCGCCTCAACAGGCGCAAATCCACAGGTCATCCACCTACTTCCGTATTCTCTCTCATTTGAATCAATTATTTACTTTTGAGATTGTACCATTTGTATTTCTTTTCCCCTTAATTGCTTTCTATCTTTATTGTAGATTAGTTTCGCTTCTTTTATTGGGTTTTTTTTCTCCCCTTAATTGTTTTTTTATATTTTTTTCTCTGCTTGCTCTAAAAACTCCTTGGTTGAATCTTGGTGATTCATGTGCTTTTGAAAACTGTTTTCCCTCTTTATTTGAAATCCAGATATCCTTTGTTTATTGTAGAAACAAGTCGTTAAGCACAAAGATCTTTGGTAACCAATGCATACTACTAGAAAGGGTGAAGAAATTGCTGTTTCATTTTCTTTCCAGAAATGCATTCAACTAGATCTGTTATCAGAAAATCTTCCATGATTTTAAGTATCAAAATTTATGGGGATTTTCTTGTCAATTTTGAATTCACTTGATTTTTATTGTTCTAGTTTTGTTGTTCTCGTTTGTTTCCTCCCCTAACAATATTTTTGAAATGGAGCCTTATTTTCCATTCGCATCACTTTTGTCGGCTTTGTCCTTCTATTTGTTTTATGTAGCGGACATTTTCTATGTTATTCATAGTAGAACTCACAAGCATTGTTATTCTAGGGTTAGAAAAGCAGAGAGAGAGAGAGAGAGAGAGAGAAGACCAGGTTATTCTAACATTCATAAAATAAATAAATAAATAAGTCCCCGTATTTTTCATTGAAAGTCAATTCCCTTTATTAAGTGAAATCAAAATGTGTATATATATACATATATAAACATATATATGATAACTAAATGGATATCTAGGCTTATTTATTCAGCATGAAAGGGTGAGCGTTTTACATCTTTTTCTTTTAAAATCAGTCTTGAGTGATGATGGCCATGGAAATGATTTTCTTTTCTTTTCCTTTTTTTTTTTTTGTGGTTACTTTGCTAGTCATTTTCTAATATGAACTTGACGAAATGCTGCAGATCGGTTTGACCGTGCGACCAATGTTCATGGGAATGATGCAGACAAGAGTCAAGTTTCTGCCCCAAGAAATGTTCCTGTTGTAGATCATGGGGATGCAGGAGCCAGCAGTCTTATAAATGAAAATGCTCACACAGGGATTATAGCTTTAGAGGGGTGTTCCGTTAGTGGGGCTTCTCAGCTCTTGAATGATCGTACGTGTCCAATATTTTCTCTAAAATATTATTGTTGAATCTCATAAATATAACTTTTGGCTGTTCTTCTTCTTTTCACTCTACTTTAGTTGTTAAAATGCCATTTGAAACATAGCAAAATTACATTCTTACAATTTTTTGATTGCTTCAACATATTTGCAATTTTGTGATCACCCTATGAGTTTTCTCATACAAAAGTTGATTAGTTAAACATTTGAGACCTCAGATGTTCTTCTTTGGACCTACTTGAAACACCTTTTCGTGTCAGAAGCATACGTTAAAGACAAAAATTCTAAATCTTTATACACAAGTTGCGTCGTTAGATTCTTCTTGTATGGAAAATTTCATGTGATCTGTAAATGGCTTGCTACAATTGTTGAACTAAGTAGAATTTTCAGTTATATATTAAGGCCTCGTTCATTTCACCGATTCGAGTTTTCAATTTTAAGTTTCTACAATAAAAAGTTTTTAGAAAATGTTACATTTAACTTTTTCTACTATAGTGAAAAGCTCTCAGAAAATGTCACATCTCAGCTCGAATTGAAAACTCAAATCCGCGAAGTGAACGAGGCCTAAGTGATCACTTCTATGATATTGTTAATTTGGTATCTCATATGGTTAATGATTGCATATCCCCACGAATACTGGGTGACAACCATGAAAACTATTCTGCGTGTACCTTCAATTACAGGTTGGGCAGCTGCAATACAGTGCTCCAGCAATGCGTCGATTGATCCATCAGGTTCATTTAAAAACCTAACATTTTCTCAATTGTCTTTTTATTTTATTTTATTTTACTTTATTATTTGGAGAGCCCCTAGCTCTAGGATATAGTGCATCAATTGATATTAAAACCAATAATTTCCATTGCAAAGCTCGGGAAAAATAACTGGTGAGCTCCTCGGGAGTTGGAACATAGAAGTGATAGAAAGACAAGTTTTGGTTTGTAAAGAGGAATTTGTTGAAGCAAACTTAAATTAGACTAGTCTGATACTAATCATGTATGTATGGTAAAAACGAAAATAACAGTCCATGAAATCGCTTCCTCGACATATAAAGCAAAGAACATTGTATGCATTTAGAACTTCCCTAATTGATTAGTTAATTAATTAATAATTATTATTATTATTATTTTTTTTTTGGAACTTGGGAGTGGGAGGATTCTATATCTACACCTTTTGGTGGAGTTAGGTATGGTATTACTGCTTGGCGATGCCTGCATCCACAGAACTTCCCTATTAACAACTTTTTTTTGAGCATGCACTAAACATTCAGTCTAGCAGCTTGCCTTATTCTGGATGGTTGATCTGCTATGTGATTTCTATGTTTCAGAAAGACCGGTCATGTACTCGGATAAAGCTCCAGCATGGGGTGGCCAATTCAGACTTCCTCACCAGGTTGGTAAAATTCTGTCTTTTTTCTTTTCTTTTCTTTTATCATTTTTTGGGATTTTCTCTTACAGTCTGCTTTGGATTGCCTGTCTTCAGTTTATGTCTCCGGCCGGTGGCGTTTCATCTCCTGGCTCACAAATGGACTTCTTGGGCGAACTACGCCGCGCAATGTCCAAGTGAAGTGCCAGTTTCGACTCCTAAGATACACGTCTTTTATCATAATAAACTTTATTTATATTTGGATCTATATATTATCCGAGTACTGTGGATGTATTACGGATAATTTATGTATGGATAGATTAACAAAAATATGTTGACAAAGTAAAGTATTTTTAGACTGCAGTATTTGTTTTATGAGCTGTTCTAACTGGAAACATTTAAAATAATCGTGAATGTGCTAAGATTTCATATATGGATTTTGTTCTATGTTAAATGACTACTTTGCTTATATCTACATTTAGGGCCCGTTTAATTCGCTAATTTGAGTTTTTAATTCGAGTTGAGATGTGATTTTATGTGAGAATTTTTTATTATAGCAAAAAAGTTAAATATGACTATTTCTAAGAGTTTTTTATTTTAATAAAACTTGAATTCTTAACTCGAATCGGTGAAATGAACGAATTCTTAACTTTTAACTTTTATTATTTTAGATCCGTTATTCAACTTAAAAAGTTTTGGGACTTGCCACGTCAGTCACCCAACATAAAAAGATTATTACCAAAAAAAAAAAGATAAACTAAATTTAAAAAAGAAAAGGATTTCAGAACTTTTGCTACAAACTTATCCGGTTTTGATAACTTCTCCCTGACCTTTTATTTTGACACTTCGCCCCCTTACGTTGTTAAATCATTGCAATGTTTTTCTGGGTTGAATTTGGAGATTCGAGTTTTTTGTGTTTTAAGATTTCAGGATTTTTAGTTGAAGTTGAGGCGGTCGTTGATTTTTTATCTCTGGTAAATTAGCGGCCATTAGTAAAATGAAGCATAATTTGCAATGATTTTACAAGTTGAAGTGGGCAGCGCCACAAAATTAATAATTTGGTGCAAGTTTTCAAAACTAGAAAAGTTTGGGTGGCCAAATGTGTTAAATTAAACCCTAAAGGCAAGTTTTAGCCCAACTGAAGCCCTAGCAGTTATTCGACTTTTAAGGAGGGAAAAGGGATGGAGAGAGGTTGAAGATGATAATACCAATCCGTTGTTTCACTTGCGGCAAGATCTTCCCTTTTCACTTTCTTGTTTCGTAAGGTTATTTTATGAAGAGAAGGAAAGATGTTTTTGCATCTTCATTTTAAAGTTAAGACCATTTGGTAAAATAAGCGAAGAATCAGCGAAGACTCCATATATTATGTTTTGGGTTTTATTTGATTTTGCGTAATAATGGATTTTTTGTTTTTTTGTTTTTTTTGTTTTTTTTTTGTTTTTTTTGAAATATTGGTTGGTGTTTGTAGGTAATTGGGAAGAAATGTGATAGGTATCTTGATGTTCTCCAGGCTGACTATTCTGAAGGGTGAATAAAATTTTCCTAAAAACAACCATTTTATTGGAATTTCTATGAGGTAATTTATTGGAATTTTCCTGAAGGGTGAATATTGATTGGTATTCTGAAGGATGATAATACCAATCTCATGCTGTAAATTGTAAATTCGACACTAACAATTGAATTCTGTATTGAATCTCTCTGGAAGAAAGGCCTTTAGGAGTTAGAAGCCTAAAGGATTCTGCGAAGGATTTTACAAGAAAAACGCTAGTTTTGAGTTATGACTAGTCATAAATTGACATGTAAGCCTGTGTGACGTGTGGATTTTTAATTGATTGAAAAAGGACTTGTAATGCATTACGGTCACAAATAAGGATATATAGTATTGTTTATAGATTGACATGTAAGACTACGTGGGATCTCGTATTATAATCAGTGAGTACTTGAATGAACACAGAAAATTGTGATTGGTTCAAATGGCTTGGTGATGGTCACCAACAATTATATGTAGTTGGCTTATCGATTGGCATGTTGTGGAATTTTGTGTCATAATCAAAGAGTGAGTCCTATAGTTAACGTGTAAATTTGTGATTGGATGAAAAGGTGAAGTGATGGTAGAGGTGTCAAATGTGTCGTGTTGGGCCAGCACGACACGTCTGACCTCAGGCCCGTACAGTTCAGGGTCGTGCCTGGGCCAGGCCTGAGGGAGGATCCTCACGCCCAACACTGGCCTAGGCCCTCATCCATAAGGGCTAAGGCCGGGCCGGTCCTGGCCCTTTTAAATTTTTTTGCAATATTTAATTTAAAAACAAAATGAAAATATATCATATGCTCTCAAAAGATGTGATTTTATTGAATTGAGATAATATGAATAAGTACACATAAATGACTGTCTCGTTAAAAATCTTGCCAAGTAAAACCCGTAGAGAGATCGGGACAAAACTTTTGGGAAAGAAAAAAGTGTGCATTATTTTAGGATAAGTAAATTACAAAGCCCAAGTGTTTTCAGAAGATTCTGTTATGTCTAAGTTAGAAAAATAATCTTGAATTGAATCATCTGTATAGTGTTATTTTCGTCTTCTGGCATCTTCCCAGTCTTTAATGTACATTAGCCCCTTCAAGATATCCGGATACATTCTGCTTCTCTTTTCGTCATGAATTTGGTTGATTGCACTAAATGCTTGCTCCAACGCTACCGTTGACACTGGAGTTGTCAGAATGTCACGGGCTATTATGGACAGTATTGAAAAACGATCGGTCTTGCTCTTCCACCACTATAAGATGTCCAGTTAATTTGATTCAAAATATTTTACTAGTTTCGTAGTCGCTTGTATTGACGACAATCCTGACGTTTTCTCTTTCTGCTTCAAGAAGCTCCACGATGAGGCTTTAGGTCCCGAACTGCTAGTTGACATCGAAGTTCCCTGTTCTTTTTGACATGTTCCGTATTTTGCTTCATACAAACCAAATAATTTTTCTAACATTTTCCTAGCCTCAGTAATAGTTAGTTGCATATCAATACCTAAATTTTCTGTTGTAGCAGACATCAAAGAGTTGGTCCCATCTACTCCGCATTTATGATCTAAAATGGTTGCTAATGCATATAACATAGGACAACCGGACCAATAACTTTTAAATTTAGCTGATGCAAAGCTATATGTGCAGTAGGATAATAAACTCTAGAAAGTAATTCAGTAGCATTGTAGAAAAGTTCTAGAAATTTAAAAAAGTACTCACCAATCTTCCAATTTGTATCGAAAATTAAAAGCTAATCGTTCTTACTGTTCACATACGTTGTGATGAGCTATTGATACGGAAGTGCAGCTTTCAACATTAAGTAGGTGGAGTTCCACCTATGTCTCACATCTGTTGGAAATTTTCTTGGGCGCATCTGACTGTTCCTACCATATTGTCAGAATTCTTGGAGCTGAGCTCTAGATCTAGATACGAAGGATAAAGCTTCTCTAATATTTGTTAGATTAGAGGAAATATGTTCAATTTCTGCTTGTACTACTAAATTTTTATGTGACGCAAACCATTTATGAAAAATTTCACCACCTAAAGCTGGTTTCAAACTATGTTTAAACGTGTTAATTGCAGCCGTGTTAGCTGACGCATTATCAAAAGTAATAGTTAAAATTTTATCTTTTATCCCATAAAACCCAAAAATATCCATTATTGTTCCAAAAATAGCATTTGCGTTATGAGAAAAAGGACATAAACGAAAATCTATTATTCTCTTTTGTAAAACTCATTCATTGTCAACATAATGCGCCGTGACGCATAAATATCTAGTTTTATTGCACACCTCTCAAAGATCAGAATTATAAGATATGGTAGCATTAAAAGACCTAAAATTATCAATTAGAGATTGTCTCATTGCATAAAACACGTTCATGCAATCAGAACGAATTATGTTTCTACTTACCCGTTTAAATTGTGAGCAGAAGGCCGTCTGTATGAATTCTTCAAACGCCGCATCATCTGCAAAAGAAAGAGGTAATTCAGCACTAGCCAAAACTTTAGCTAGTGCCTCACGAGCACGTTGTGCATCGTATGTAAAATTTTGCAACCCTTGTGATGTGAGTGATAGTGTTTGTTAGCGAGGGTCTGCACTCCCACCTTGGTGCAACGGTAGACATGTTTTCCAATGTCTATTCAGATTATCAGTACCCCCACCTTTTTTTTATTAGAAAAGTATTTTTTACAATATTTACATACCGCATGAATTTCTATTTCACCTAGTTTTGGATTTGGTCATGGCTCCTCTATGAAATGGCTCATCACCAAGCTCAAGGAGAGCAGTGAAATCAAGGAAATTTGATGCGGTCATTTTCTGAAGAAAAAAAAAAACAGAAACTAATGTTAATTTGTTCATTTATAAACAATAAACAATATAAATAAACTTGAGTAATACAATGTTATGTGACAAAATTGATAAGTAGAATACTTTTTTTCCCATAATTTCTGGAAATTGATTGAACTTTGGAAATGAAAGGGTAAGAAAATGAGTAATCGAGAGAGAAAAGCTTAGAATCAATATCAAAGAGACAATGAGAGATAGAATGAGAGTGAGATGAGAAGTTGAGAGTGAATTGTTATGTGGGATTTAGGGTGGGATTAAGGGGTATTTATAGGGTTTTTAGGGTGAATTTTTGGCTTGTGACCGTTGGGCCCTTCGCATGCCCAACGGTCGCCCGTGACGGGCCTAACGGCAGGCCCGTCACGGGCTGAACGTTTGGCAAGCGAAAGGCCCAGTGGTCACAAGCCTGGCGAGCTGGGAAGGCTTCTGGCGGCCCGTTTCGCGGGTCAAACAAGGGTCGTATCGCTGGCCGAACACGTGCTTAGGCCAAACTAGGCCGGGCTAGGCCTCGGGGCTTCAAGGGCTAGGGCCGTGCCTGGGATGCGGGCTGAGAAACCGCGGCCCAGCCCTAGCCCATCAAACGTGCCAAGCCGGCACGGCCCGTAACAGTACCGTACCAGGCTATGCCGAGCTCAGCACTGATACGTGCTGAGCCGGGCCGTCCACATTTGACAACTCTAAGTGATGGTCACCAACAACAATATATACTATGGCTTCTAAAGTGACACATAAGACTGGGATTCAATGCCATAATTTCAAAGTCTTAAAGTTAAGATGTAACTTTGTGATTGGTTAAAAAGGTTTGGTCTAAGTCACCAACTATGATATATGGTATGGCTTATACATTGCCATATAGTGTGGATCCTTTTCCATATTGAGTGAGTACTTGAAAAGTTATGATGGGTTGAAAAAGTACTAGTAGTGATATGCAATATGGCTTACAGATTGGCATGTAAGTGCAATGTGCAGGAATAGTAGAAAAAGTGTGCAGCGGAGTTTTAAAACTTTTCTAAAAGATCATATTAACT